TTACTCTGACATCTTCCCATTCTTGCCCTTCTGAGGTCTTATTATATGAGAAAACTAAATGTTTGTGAGGCTAACTTCACTAGATCACTAGTTTCATAAGGAAAACACTGAAACAAAAGTGATTTTTCTCATGTTTTTTCTATATGATTTCATGCTTTAATTCAATGGACATCATCCTCTTCTTCTCAGCACTGTCCTTGCACTCACTTTCTTAGGACCCATGGTTAGAAAAAAGAAATTTGGTAAAATAACTGCACAAAGAGCACAAAACGCTGGGATGCTGGGCAGATGTTGTGGCATTCGTTGCACCACTTAGTGGCAGCGTATCTGAAGCTCACTTGTAACTCAGATTTTGGCTTGCAACTCTAAGCAAAAAATCAACTGAGCGATTGCTCATAACTTAAAAAATTACGTAAGTTGGGGCACTTGTAAGTCAAGGTACCACCGTACTAGTATGCCTAACTAGCACAAGTAAACAATGAAATCATGAAGTTTTGTTCCACCACAAGCTTCCCTATCAGCAAACAGGGTGTAGAAGTAGCTTGAAGATGACTTATTCATTCCAAATTTTTTTTTTTTTTAACACATTGGCCGCTTCCCACCGAGGCAGGGTGATCAAAAAAGAAAGAAAAACCCAAAAAGAAAAAACTTTCATCATCATTCAACACTTTTACCATCATTCAATGCATAATCACTGTTTTTGCAGAGGCGCTCAGATACGACAGTTTACACGTCCCTCCAAACTGCCAATATCCTAAACCCCTCCTTGAAAGTGCAGGCATTGTAATTAACATTTCCATGACTCAAACCCGGCTAACCAGTTTCCCTGAATCCCTTCACAAGATATTCCCCTGCTCACATTCCAACAGCTCATCAGGTCCAACAACCATTCATCTCCATTCACTCCTAACACTCTCACACACGCTTGCTGGAAATCCAAGCCCCTCACCCACAAAACCTCCTAAGAGAGGAGTGGAGGCAAATGGCTTTTGGGACTTGATGAGCTGTTGAAGTGTGAGCACAGTAACATTTTGTGAAGGGATTCAGGAAAACTGATTTGCTGACTCGAGTCCTGGAGGTGGAAAGTACAGTGCCTGCACTCTGAAGAAGGGAGTGGTGATATTTGCAGTTTAGAGGAGTATTTGAACTGTAGTGTCTGTGCGTATCTGGCAAGACAGTGATAAGAGTGAATGATGAAAGTGCTTTAAGTCTAAAATAGTAAAAAACAGAATAAAAATAATTGTACACTATATTCCAAGTGGAGCAATGTCAGGCTAAACATTTTCCCATGTTTGAAGTGCTAAAACAACTTTAAACACATCTAATATTACAAACTAATTCACAGTATTAAACATTAAAAGCAATTAAAAATCAGAAAAGGAATTATAAATTGGTGTCAATAAATTGTAAAACATGAATATTACTGATGCATTTACATCACTGTTGTCCAAGGGTGATATATGTAATTCTTTTGTCAACTTCAACACAAAAAAATATCATAGGTTTTTATCACATCTGACTTATTTTAGTTTAATCCGTTTCAGAAAAAATGTACTCTTTCATTCTATTAGAATTTTTTTTTTTTAAATTTTCCCACCACATACACAGGATTTTTTATGTGCAGGTATGCCACAGTTTTGGGATTAATAGTTATCTGAGTGAGGGTATCTGAGTAACATTTGGGTGGGTTTCAAACATGTTTAGTAAGTTGGTGATGTATTGTGGAATACGTCTCCTGTCAAAGTAACCTTTGCAACTTTTTGTTTGTAGGTTTCCTTACTTACTCGCTGAAGACTTGAGTTTGTACTGAATCATGCAGTTTTACTGAGCTGCCCACCAGTTCCTGCTTGTATGAGCTACATTGACTCCCTAAGAAAGCAAGATCTGAAATTATCTCTGATTATTAACATTTAAAGCTATTAAGTTAAATGAGCCCAAGCATGCTGCTGTTTTTTGCTTTTTAATGCACCGGCCATCTCCCACCAAGGTAGAGTGACCTCAAAAAAGTGACTTAAAAAAAGAAAAACAAAAGTTTTTCTTTTTAATTTAGTAATTTATACAAGAGAAGGAGTTACTAGCCCCTTGCTCCCAGGGCTCAAAAATATTTCCACAAATTGCCATCAACCCTTTTAGACTAGGTCTGGTGCTGCTGATGTGAAATCATTTGCAGAAAAAGTCTTTATGTAGGTCCTAGATTGCTCAATAGGTTATGAGTGTCTGTTAACAGTCAGGAATCTGTTCATTCTTTCAAATTGCAGTTGACAGAATCTGTTTTCTAAGGTTTATGATCCTGATGATCATACTGACACAACTGACTATAAACTTCAGTATTTCTTATTCCTCTTTGTTGCTACATTTACAGTGGAACCTCAGTACTCGAACAGCTCCCTACTCGAACAACGCTCAGCACTTGACCAAACAAACACGACCTGCCAGAACTTTGCTGTAAACAATTTTGTGTCTTTTTCGCATTTTTTGGTGTTTTATTATATTATTTGTATAAATAAATCACCATCGAAGATTAGTGATAATAGCCAACCAAAAAGAAAATGGGTTGGGAAGAATTTGTCTGAACGGACTGGCACTCGAACAGCCTTCTTGAATGAATTAAGTTTGACTACCAAGGTTCCACTGTATATTCATCTTTGTTATTTACATTTATAGCATGATATAAGAGTTCTTGAGAATTTCTTGGTACTTTTGTTTAATAAATGTATGAAAGAGGGGAAGGTACCTAGGGATTGGCGGAGAGCATGTATAGTCCCTTTATATAAAGGGAAAGGGGACAAAAGAGATTGTAAAAATTATAGAGGAATAAGTTTACTGAGTAAACCAGGAAAAGTGTACGGTAGGGTTATAATTGAAAGAATTAGAGGTAGGACAGAATGTAGGATTGCAGATGAGCAAGGAGGTTTCAGAGTGGGTAGGGGATGTGTAGATCAAGTGTTTACATTGAAGCATATATTTTTTTTTTTTCAACAAGTCGGCCGTCTCCCACCGAGACAGGGTGACCCAAAAAAGAAAGAAAATCCCCAAAAAGAAAATACTTTCATCATCATTCAACACTTTCACCACACTCACACATTATCACTGTTTTTGCATATATGTGTGAACAGTATTTAGATAAAGGTAAGGAAGTTTTTATTGCATTTATGGATTTAGAAAAGGCATATGATAGAGTGGATAGAGGAGCAATGTGGCAGATGTTGCAAGTATATGGAATAGGTGGTAAGTTATTAAATGGTGTAAAGAGTTTTTATGAGGATAGTGAGGCTCAGGTTAGGATGTGTAGAAGAGAGGGAGACTACTTCCCAGTAAAAGTAGGTCTTAGACAGGGATGTGTAATGTCACCATGGTTGTTTAATATATTTATAGATGGGGTTGTAAAGGAAGTAAATGCTAGGGTGTTCGGGAGAGGGGTGGGATTAAATTTTGGGGAATCAAATTCAAAATGGGAATTGACACAGTTACTTTTTGCTGATGATACTGTGCTTATGGGAGATTCTAAAGAAAAATTGCAAAGGTTAGTGGATGAGTTTGGGAATGTGTGTAAACGTAGAAAGTTGAAAGTAAACATAGAAAAGAGTAAGGTGATGAGAGTATCAAATGATTTAGATAAAGAAAAATTGGATATCAAATTGGGGAGGAAGAGTATGGAAGAAGTGAATGTTTTCAGATACTTGGGAGTTGACGTGTCGGCGGATGGATTTATGAAGGATGAGGTTAATCATAGAATTGATAAGGGAAAAAAGGTGAGTGGTGCGTTGAGGTATATGTGGAGTCAAAAAACCTTATCTATGGAGGCAAAGAAAGGAATGTATGAAAGTATAGTAGTACCAACACTCTTATAAGGGTGTGAAGCTTGGGTGGTAAATGCAGCAGCGAGGAGACGGTTGGAGGCAGTGGAGATGTCCTGTTTAAGGGCAATGTGTGGTGTAAATATTATGCAGAAAATTCGGAGTGTGGAAATTAGGAGAAGGTGTGGAGTTAATAAAAGTATTAGTCAGAGGGCAGAAGAGGGATGGTTGAGGTGGTTGTGGCATTTAGAGAGAATGGATCAAAGTAGAATGATATGGAAAGCACATAAATCTATAGGGGAAGGAAGGTGGGGTAGGGGTTGTCCTTGAAAGGGTTGGAGAGAGGGGGTAAAGGAGGTTTTGTGGGCGAGGGGCTTGAACTTCCAGCAAGCGTGCATGAGTGTGTTAGATAGGAGTGAATGGAGACGAATGGTACTTGGGACCTGACGAGCTGTTGGAGTGTGAGCAGGGTAATATTTAGTGAAGGGATTCAGGGAAACCGGTTATTTTCATACAGTCGGACTTGAGTCCTGGAAATGGGAAGTACAATGCCTGCACTTTAAAGGAGGGGTTTGGGATACTGGCAGTTTGGAGGGATATGCTGTGTATCTTTATATGTACACCTACCATCCGACTTACAACCGAGTTCGGTTCCGAGAAACCGGCCGTAAGTCAAAATGGTCGTAAGTCGAACTTTACTACTGAATATCAACAAAACATTTTTGTAATGACTATTTTATTGTTTTATTTTGGTATTTCATGATTTACTCTACTTTTTATGTTGTTAGTACTGTATTTTATACTGTAAGGTTTAGGATAAACACAGTGTACAACACAAATAGTTGTTTATTTCCCAGAAATTTGGCATAAAAAAACACGGTTGTAAGTCGAGTGGTCGTAAGTCGAGCAGGTAGTAAGTCGGATGGTAGGTGTATATGCTTCTAAACTGTTATATTCTGAGCACCTCTGCAAAAACAGTGATAATGTGTGAGTGTGGTGAAAGCGTTGAATGATGAAAGTATTTTCTCTTTGGGGATTTTCTTTCTTTTTTGGGTCACCCTGCCTCGGTGGGAGACGGCTGACTTGTTGAAGAAAAAAAAAAAGTCACTATGTAAACATTCTTATCAGCAACACCCTTATTTGCTGTCTTTACCCCTCTATAATTAAAGTATAGAAATGTATGTAGAAGCAAACAATAGTACATAAAATAAAAAAAATCCTTTTAATCACATTTTATCTTACAGATTATATATTGCAAACAGGCTGTATAAAATATCATATGTGCACTGCTTAACTTGTATATAAATTAAAAGAAAATGGAATAATGGAAATTAAAACCTTGGGACCTATCTGTTGTACTTTAGTATAAAATATATGTTCAAATAAAAATATATTGCTGATTTGGGAGACATTTCTCTTCTAAATTCTCATAAATTTAAAAAATTCTTATTTCAATGCAATTCTAGCACATGTGTTACTGAGCCACTGAGTTTGATAGACAAGACTGAAAATAATGTGTCAATAAAAGGGCAATCATCAAGTAATATTTCTTAAGTAATTAAGTACCAAGTAATTTAAAAGTAATGAACAAAATTCTGCACTAACAGTGATGGCTGATTACAGTCAGTCTGAAAACTACAATTCGCTACCTAAAAATTATAACCTTAAAAAAAAAAAAAAAAAAAAAAAAAAAAAAAAAAAAAAATACATTTTACTTCATCATTTTATAAAAAAAAAAAAAAAAAAAAAATGAAAATTTTTGTACAGTATTTTCTATATATCTCTGAGAACTTATTAATTGTGTTTATTATAAAACAAGAATGCAAGTACAGTATGTAATCAGCCACCTTACAGTATTCTTGCATGGTATTTCAAAACTGTGAATTAAACGCACAATTCAAAATTATTCCCTTTATGTAAAACAACTAAATCACCAGATAAGAAAATGTCCAAAAACATGAATTACAAATATTTACAATAATTTGTACCACAATATAAAACTATGACCTATGTTACTGATGGTAATAGGAATTAACCTACATGATAAGTTTACTCTCAATGTATAACTACAGCCAACTTAAATTTCTTTTAAGTTGAACATTTTCACATGTATGTGTATGTATGTGGGCTAGACACTTCTGCATAAGATTTATATGAACTAAACATCCATACATAGTGCATATAGAAAACATAACTCCCTCACACACTGTATATGTAAATGACATATGCACAATGAATACAGATAATACACATGATGTGCATAAAATTGAATGTGGAATAAAAACGTACACATACAAACTCTCTCTTTGCAAGCATGCTGTGCTGCTGGTAACATTCATGTACACAATATACGTATATGAAAACATCCTCACTTATTGTATGCAGATTACACTCATACATAAATTATGTTGATCATAAACTAATACACAAGGTGAATGCTGAGGGAACAATTACATGTGGTTTATGCGAGCTAAACATCCACATACAAAGTATTTTAACTTTCCCCTCAAACACAGTGTATGTGAGCAAACACTAACATCCAAGTACTTAGTGTATTTACAATGAACATTCACTGCACATAGTGTATAAAGAATAAACATCCACACTCATGGTGTATAAGGAATGAACATCCACAGTACATGTACTGATCACACATGGTATGTGAGGCAGGCAGGTGCATACTGTGTGAATTATACACACCCACATGGGATGCAGATTGAATACCTATACATGAGGTGTTTGTATGATAAATTTCTACACTGTATGCAGATTATACATAACCACATGTAAACTGCATGATGCAAAACTTACACAGGATTTATGTGCAATGAATTGCTATATGCAGGATATACATGAAATGCACATCCATACACATAATCAAACACCTGCACTTCCAGAATGCACACACACATACATGCATGCACACACAGCAAGTGAGTTACCCCAACTTACAAATAGGTTGCATTCCCGATTTTTCAACCTCAATTAGAAATCTTCGTATAGAAAATAATGTAGAAAGGATGGTTACGTTTCACACGTTTGCACTTTAACTTGGTGATTGTAAAAGTGTAACTTGGGGCCCCTCCACCTCCTGTATATACACTAAATAGTTGCAGAGGTACTTCACATGGATTTAAGACCCACATACATGTGGTGTATTTATACGTTGAATGTAGATCTTGTGCAAGTCAGGTGAACATGCTCATACATGCTGTACATGAAAACTTCTATACAAACTTTCAGCATACCATTTATGTTGCATGTACCTTGGATATTCTTTTCAGTAACACATATTGATTTCAAACTGCTTTTAATCCACATACTCACACAAAATGTAGAGGGACTTATTGTCCTGACATTCCAGAATAACAAAAGGAGAGTCCCTGATGCTGCTCACATACTATTAAATAAATCCTATTTTTCTTTTGTTTTTGTTTTTGGATTCTAGTATAAAACTGAAAAGTATGAAATATATATGTACAATATAAACTGTTTGACCACATACATCTCACCAGACATGCACAAATTTGGACCAATACAAACTTTGTCTAAACAATACAGTACTTTACTTTAAATTCTGTACCAAAATTAATTATATCATAATATTTACCAATAATGTACCTTAACAAAACATGTACTTTTGATAGAAACAAAATGCTATTTATATGTACAATATATGACAGTATACTACTATGTGAATGTCTGTGTGTTTGATACTTCTACTCACCAATTATACACTTTCTCAAACTGAACTATGCAGATTCAAAGCAAGAGTATCACTAGAACTGAATTAAATACTGCATGATCAAAATTAATTCAAAGAGTGACCTTATAGACTGAAAGCTAAACATCTACAAAATACATAAGATCATCTTACTTAAAAATTTGATATCAGGAAAAAATACTAATAAATCCTTCATTTAATATCTTTTAATGAGATGCTTTAATCAAGGCCACAATAAATTAAATGGATTGTATTTTTTTATACATACACTGTACCTGTAAGTACATAAATGATATGGGAAACATAGAATAACTGCAGCATATCCAGCAACAACAATCTGTGTCGTTTAGCTTTACAGCTAGTTAAATTAATTCTTACGCTTATGTCTACTTGATGGGTGCTTTTCATAATCTCGTTCATATTCACGCTCGTAATCATAATCTCTATGGTCTTTTCCACGACTCTCATTCACATATCGATCATGATACTCCTCACTATCAGCCTGGAAAAAAAAAACATTTTTAGAGTGATTTCTTGGAAATTTGGAGTTTTTTTTATTCAGAAAAAAAAATTATTCTGAAAACTTTTGAATTTAAAAATCTAAATTCTTGCAATTGTCCTTACAAATTTTCATTGTGGGAAGGGAGAGAGGCTAAGGCAGTTACCTACCTGAAGGCCCCAGGGAACTAAAAACCTTCAATAATGCAAAATGGTGAAGTTTTTTAAAATCTGGATTGATTCTGCATCTCAGACTGTGATATGCCACTCTCATCAAATTTATACTGGCATTCATCAGAAGGAAAAAACCAGAAGAGAGAGATATGGGCAAGGGAAGTCAGTGAACACAATCTATAGGTCATGCACAAAGACTGAAAGAAATAAGTACTTTTTTTTTTTTCAACAAGTCGGCCGTCTCCCACTGAGGCAGAAAATCCCTGTGTTGAATGATGAAAGTTTTTTTCTTTCTTTCTTTTTGGGGTTTCCTTTTGTTTTGGGTCACCCTGCCTTGGTGGGAAACAGCTAATGTGTTAAAAAAAAAAAAAAATTCACTCATGGGATGCTCACGAGTTAAAAGTTGGATAATCAAAACCAACAGATGAGGAAGCCTGCAAATTTGTACAGACTATACAGTATGTATAATACTTTAAAAATGCCTATTTTTTTTTAAGAAAAATCTGAATTCAAACTAGAAAACATTTTCCACTTGTTCAGAAAATTCTCTTTTATGTAAAGATCACTAGAAAATAAACAACACAGCCTCTCTTCACTTAACGATGGAGCTGCATTCCTAAGACCATGTTGGTAAATAAATTTGTCGATAAATGAGGAGCATACTATAATGGTAGTGGGTTGTGTCAACCATCTTTGATATTGTTTTAATGTCAACTTTGCACCATTTATAAAATTTTTAGTATATTTTTAAATGTTTATACAGTAGTGTACTGTATATTGTAATAAACAGAATAGAGGAAATCAGCTCTAGTATACATTATTTAGGCATGCATACTGGTCAAAGAGCCCGTCGTTAGTCAGAGTCATCGGTGAACAAGTACATCGCTAAGTGAGGAGAAGCTGTATACAAGAGACAATGCCTATAATTTAAAAATAAACAAATGAAACTACTTGGCTGTGCTTTTATATCAATTGACCATTTAAAAAATTTATGTAGTACTTTTTAAAGGTTTATACGTGGTACTGAATAATAAACAGAATAGAGGAATTTATATAAAAATTTAGCCTATTCGGGTCTTGTCCGTAGTCTACGGGCTGAAGTCATCGACTGTGGGGCTGTATCCCAAATACACGCCATATTAAAATAAACAAAGAATACTTGGCTGGCTTTTCCGACTTGGACTGTGACAAAAACCTAAGCTCGTCGTCACTTTCTTAGTGTTTACTGGCGGGTATAGATTTAAAAAATCTTACCCTTTCGGGATTGTGCCTTTGTTAGCTGATACTGTGCTGTAGTACTATGTGATGAGCTCAGCTCACTTAGATAAGCAGCGAGTGGTAAATCTGGGAAAAGATACAAGAGAGTAGGTCTATGCAGTGAGTGTGCACCATGTAAAAAAATCCTGCCCCTAGCACTGTATGATGAAAAAAAAATGATTGTGTATTTGGTTTAAAATAGCGACTTTGCGATGTATTTTTGAATGGTTTTTATACTTGTATTCTCAGTTTCTTGTTATCATTTGATAGCATGGAAGATATATTACAGAAACAGAGATGATTCTGATTGCTTTCAGTACTGGAAGTAGCTTGAAATTGAGCTCAAATTAGTGGAAATGTTTGATTTTTGCCGATATTTCAGAGGGCACAAATTGTCACTCATCCAATGTGTCCAATGCACTCACGAATGTGTTGATATTATTTATACAATTATTATAATACAGTAGTCTGCATAACAATAAATCTTCCATTTTTTGTGTGAATAAAAATTCAAAATGGAAAGCAAGTGTAATATAGAAGAGGCCTGGGGATATAACTAATGAACAAAGGAAATGTTATAGTGCCAAGAATGTCTACACTGTTTATTCTAGACCCTATTTTGAAAATGGCAATTTTTGAATTTAGTGTGAAACTGGCTGAATTACCAATTTCTGATTATTTTCTTGGGTAGTTGAAATAGTTAAATGGATAGTTTCTTGTACTCAATCAATAGAATGGAAGGCATACTAGTGAAATAGATAAGAGTTTGGTCAACTGGAACAATGGAATTGGCCTAAAATAAGACTCAAAGTGGGCAAAATGTGTAAATATTACTGAGAGCATTAACTTTGTGACGGTGTAATTCTGTAAATTTTCCACAGAAGTTCGTACTTTTGGCATCATTACCTTTGGAAAAAGATTCTCTATCATTTCATAAGAAAAAATATTTTTTTTTTTTAATTCTTGGACCCTGAGAGCAATTTTCAAAGCAGGGGTCTGGACCCTGACAGGATTAAAGGTAAAGAACTTACCCGATGCTGCTGGTGTCTATGCTTGTGATCATCATCTGACCGGCCATTAGACTTCGATCTCTCATCATTTTTTTTCCGTTTCAACTCTCCATCTGCTGCTTCATCTGAGGAGCGCTCCTGTAAACATCATATATAGCTAGTATCTTTTACAATAAATTATATTTCCTATGAACTGGCATCTCACCTGACTGTCCTTTGTTTAACCCTTAAACTGTCCAAACGTAGATCTATGTTTTTTCAACACTTGAAAGTATGTAAAAAAACGTAGTTTTTTTTTTTTACATTTGAAAACGTGTAAAAAACTTTGATCTACGTTTTTTTTTGTTATATTTGAAAATATGTAAAAAAAACTGTAGATCTACTTTTGGAGCACTACGCATGTGAACGTAAATCTGTTTGGACAGTTTAAGGGTTAATATTCAACATCACCCTCTCAGCCTAAGAGAACACAGGTTCAAGCCTCCACCAGCCCTACCACTGGATGACCTCCCATAGGTAATAATCGTTATGACACTCAACCTAATGACTCACATGGGTTTAGTGATTCACTTGACACAAAGTTAATAAACTTGGCAGATAAAATGAAAATACAATCCACCAGTGCTAGCAAAACAGGAGTGGAAGAAGGAAAATCAGAATGTGACACATGCTGTATAGCAAGATATACACAAGACTTGAGAATAACTGGCATACCAGAGCATCATTTAACATAGTAACATCTTACTTTAGACCTATGATGGAAAATTCAAGCATTACCCTTCTGGACCACTGAAAACGACACCCCAAACCTTGCTGACAAATGTATTTCCCTTCTAATAAGATGCACAGTATTGCTAAGTGAAGAACTCTAAGACCTTTTTTCTATGGTTCTTTCTATTACATCAGCTGTGTAACATGGTTTACTGTATCCTTCCTTATTGTTGATCCCAAGCTGGTTGTATATTATTTTATAATACACAGTATACATAAACATGTTAATGTCAGAAATATAAAACTAAAGAAAGCAAAGAAAATCAGACCATAATATAATATTAGACCCTAGGCAGCCAAAGTGCAGTGGCAACTCTGCCAAGCGTAGACAAAGATATTGTTCAATAATTTTAACAGTTTTATCAGGAATTTAACCTGAAACAAATTCTCTCTATGTATTTACAATATACACAAGTTTGAGCCCAGCACTCCTCCTGAGCACCTAAATATGGCTTCTTTCCTTTTTAAAACTTTGTCTGTTATTTGCCAATGGCTTCATGTCAATATCACTCATAGTTACTGAAGTACTGTACAAACATGTAATCTGTGTTAACTGTATCATACTACCTATTGCATAAAGCCAATATAAATACTGTATACAAAATAAGACAAGTTATAATGACTTAACCTAAGGTTTCCTCCAAAGGCTCTGCTTCCTGCTGAAGTGCAGAACCAGAAGAACTTGCTTCAGAGTAATCAAGCAAAAACTTAACCCTCTCAGCTGAATGTACTTCAACAGATGTGGGGAGTCTTCCCTCGTGTGAAGTGTTGGGGTCTTCATGTATATAAGGTAGAGTAAGCAGCTTAAGCCCTGCTCCAATGTGTCGTTTTAAGTAGTGTTTGATGTTTGATGGACTGCAATGACTGGTTTGATGGACTGCAATGACTTCTCAAAAGAAGCTAGAGAAGCTTGCATTTCAAAAAACTACAGAAGCCCAATGAAGTGAGGGGGAAAACATAGCTCTTTATAGAGCCAGGGCATTATATTCTCCATTGCACTACATTTGTAATTACAGTGGTACCTCGAGTTTCGAACAGCTCCCAACTCGAACAATTATTAAGTGTATTTTTGTAAGTGCTTTTGTAAGTGTATTTTTGGGGGTCTGAAATGGACTAATCTAATTTACATTACAGTGGACCCCCGGTTAACGATTTTAATCCGTGCAAGAGGGCTCATCGTTATGCGAAATAATCGTTATGCGAATTAATTTTCCCCATAAGAAATAATGGAAATAAAATTAATCCGTGCAAGACGCCCAAAAGTATGAAAAAAAATTTTTTTTACCACATGAAATGTTAATTTTAATACACACAAACTGAAAAAGGCATGCACAATTACATGACACTTACTTTTATTGAAGATCTGGTGATGATTGATGGGATGGGAGGAGGGAGAGCATTATCTTCTTACTGTTTAGAAGGGGAATCCCCTTCCATTAGGACTTGAGGTAGCAAGTCCTTTTCTGGGGTTACTTCCCTTCTTCTTTTAATGCCACTAGGACCAGCTTCAGAGTCACTGGACCTCTGTCGCACAACAAATCTGTCCATAGAGCTCTGTACCTCCCGTTTCTTCAAGACTTTCCTAAAATGGGCCATAACATTGTCATTGAAATAGTCACAAGCACGGCTTGCAACAGCTGTGTCAGGGTGATTTTCATCTATAAAGGTTTGCAGTTCAAACCACTCTGCACACATTTCCTTAATCTTTGAAGTAGGCACAATGGATTCCACAACTGGCATAGGCTTCTCAGGGTTAGCCCCAAACCCTTCAAAATCTTTCTTAATTTCCATACTAATTCTCACCCTTTTTACCACAGGGTTGGCACTAGAAGCTTTCTTGGGGCCCATGGTCACTTATTTTCCAGAAACACCACCGAAAACACTGTAATAATACGAAATATTCCGAGTGTATGCTTGGATGTTACCGCGGAGGCTGGCTGGTAAACAATGGGACGGCCGGCACATGTGAGGGCACATTGGACGCGTCTCGGACGAAAATCGGTATGCGGGTTTTTAATCGGTATGCGGGGCAAAAATTTTGCGATAAAAGTAATCGTTATGCGGAAAAATCGCTATGCGATGCCATCGTTATGCGGGGGTCCACTGTATTCCTTATGGTAACAAATTCGTTCGGTATCGGCACTCGAACAGTCTTCTGGAATGAATTAAGTTCGTAACTCGAGGTACCACTGTACTATCATGAATACGTATTTAATTATCAGTACAGTATGTAAAAGAAAAGGGGTAATTCAGTGAGGCTCTTAAGAGCTGTGGTAATTTGTACAAAATAAAGACTAGCAATGGAGCCAAGTAATGAAGTAACAAGTATTAACAGAACTGAGAAAGACAAGGGAATGAATCAGTGGAAACATGCAACCACAAGGAAGGCACTATTGTTAGGATCAGTGAAGCTGTCTACAACCACAGGGAAGGCACTATTGTTAGGATCAGTGAAGCTGTCTACAACCACAGGGAAGGCACTGTTGTTAGGATCAGTGAGGTTGTCTACAAACACAGGGAAGGCACTGCTGTTAGGATCAGTGATGCTGTCTACAACCACAGGGAAGGCACTGCTGTTAGGATCAGTGAGGTTGTCTACAACCACAGGGAAGGCACTGCTGTTAGGATCAGTGATGCTGTCTACAACCACAGGGAAGGCACTGCTGTTAGGATCAGTGATGTTGTCTACAACCACAGGGAAGGCACTGCTGTTAGGATCAGTGAGGTTGTCTACAACCACAGGGAAGGCACTTTTTGGATCAGTGAAGTTGTCTGCTGGGAATTATGAATAACGAACATTTGCCTCTAGTAATGAGTAATCAGATAACAGTAAGAACTAATTTTTAATGAAAAAGATTTTGGCATTTTAGATTGTACAGTATTAAGTGAAAAGCAGGAGGCCAAGTGGACAGAACAGAAAGGCACAATACTATGACTAGAACAATACACAAATAACCCACACACAGGAAAAGCCTATGACGACATTTCGGTCCAACTTGGACCATTAACTAGTCACACACTATGACTAGTTAATGGTCCAAGTTGGACACAAGCATTGTCATAGGTTTCTTTCTGTGTGGATTATTTGTGTAAGGCTAACTGTAGAATATTCTATGAATAAGGTTTGGGAATTATTGGACCCTCCCAAAAAACAGAAAGCCTCTGTGCCTGAAAAACAATAGTTTTTGATAGGATAAAAAAAATTACCAGGTAATTGGTCCATTTTTTGAGGGGAGTGTAACAGCATGTCATACATGAAATACATTGCAAATGTTCTACAACTATATGACAGGAATCCTGTACAGGTGTGGTCCCTAGCCTTCCTGCATGAGTGAACCACATAAGATGGTCAAATGAATGATCAGGGCTGCATCTTGAAACAGAAGCAAATTAACACAATAACAAACGAGGGAAAGGGTAAGGCTTGTGTGAGCATGTCAGATAAGAGTGGAGGCAAGTGGGCTTTATGACCTGACGTGCTGTTGGAGTGTGAGCAAGGTAACACTTATGAAGGAAGTCAAGGAAACTGGTTAGCCAGACTTGAGTCCAGGAGGTGGGAAGTACAGTATCTGCACTCTGTAGGAGGGGTGGAGTGGAGATATGTTTGCAGTTTTGAACTGTAGTATTGGCATGCCTCTGGCAAGATAGCGATAGAGTGAGTGATGATGAAAGTGCTTTTTTTTTTGGGTCACCCTACCTCAGTGGGAAATGGCCAATGTTTTTTAAAAAAAAAACTAACATAACCCATGTATTAATAACATTAATTAGAATTACCCTCATAAACATAAAGAATAAATCAAAATCAGCAAACCTCTTCCACAATTCACTCACTGTATTATAATATCCAATAATTAGATGGACACAAAAGTGTAACACAATGTAGCTTTTTAACTTGTACTGTATTTTTATTATGAAAGAATAAAGGAATCCAGCAGTAAAAACAAAAACTAAATTGCATTTGAAAGTTATAATTGCACAGATGACAAAGTTCAACTGAATATAATTAATGTTTTGAGCACATCATACTTACAACTTCTTATTTGCTTAATCTAATGTGATATATAAGACTTCAGTTTAGTAGAAAACACATTACTCTTCAAATTCAATGTTTGGCACATACAGTTTCAAAACTTTGTGCAAATATTCTTCAGTAAATCTTGACTAAAGGTTTGGCTTAATCTTCATCCTTGGAAATTTTGTTCACAAATGTATGTACTGTACTACCAAAGACCGTAAACATGCCTACAGCAAACTTCTTTAAGTTTACGAATGTCATGTAGGCTTGCATAAAATTTCAAAAGAAAATTTTCCTTGCGAATATCTTGAAGTGTCACTGGCTTGCAAATCAATGAGTTGCATTTAAAATA